TATATCACTTAACAACTAGAATATATCCATTAACAACTAGAATATATCTCTTAACAACTAGAATATATCTCTTAACAACTAGATTATATCCCTTAACAACTAGAATATATCCCTTAACAATTAGATTATATCACTTAACAACTAGATTATATCTCTTAACAACTAGAATATATCCCTTAACAACTAGAATATATCCCTTAACAACTAGAATATATCCCTTAACAATTAGATTATATCCCTTAACAACTAGAATATATCCCTTAACAACTAGAATATATCCCTTAACAACTAGATTCTACCCCTTAACAACTAGATTATATCCCTTAACAACTAGATTATATCCCTTAACAACTAGAATATATCCCTTAACAATTAGATTATATCCCTTAACAATTAGATTATATCCCTTAACAACTAGAATATATCCCTTAACAACTAGATTATATCTCTTAACAAGTAAGATATATCCCTTAACAACTAGAATATATCCCTTAACAGCTAGAATATATCCCTTAACAACTAGAATATATCCCTTAACAATTAGATTATATCCATTAACAACTAGAATATATCCCTTAACAATTAGATTATATCCCTTAACAACTAGAATATATCTCTTTACAACTAGATTATATCCCTTAACAACCAGAATATATCCCTTAACAACTAGAATATATCACTTAACAACTAGAATATATATCTTAACAACTAATTCGGACTGGTAAACTGGTAAATTTTAGCGTGTCTTTTGAAGGTTGACAACTAACAGACCGCGAAGGAATGTCTAGTTTGCGTTTTTGCATTGATACTCAACCAAACATTAAATTGTCCAATATTTAACTTTGTACAATAACAACAATTAAGGAGAAATACAAATTTACACATATTATACTTACTCTCTCTAAAGTGTTCGAGACATCCTGTATAACAGTCCTCGTATGTAATACATGTCCTATTAAACTCTACTACTGTTCCATTCATTTCCGATACGATCACCTAGTGAGACGAGACAAAATACAAGCCACGTGTATATAAGATATAAGAGCTCCATCCAATGAACGTTGACGTAACATGAAGATTTTGTTTAAAACACATGACTCAACTCATTTCTATATGATAAACACGTTCCCTCAAAAATTCAGTACAAAAATAGTACGCAAATAGGCTAGAAACATTTATGTTGTTACTGACCTCCCGGCTGACCGGAAGTATTGTAAACCGGCTTTAATCATTGATACATAATCAGATTCAACTGGATAACTTTCGAATTCGTTGCCATGATATCTATACCAGAGTACCAGTACATGTCTCAAATTGTTTCTTTTTTTAGCATATTAAATATACTATTAAAACCAGGGGCGAGTGTAGGTTTCCTGGGGCGATAATAATGACGTCATTACCACATTGCATTATGGGCCATGCGTATAATGACAAAGGGTCAAATGTAGCTCAGTAGAAGAGCGGAAAATCTCTATTTTGATTTCCCGTAAAGATATGACACTCTCACACACGGAAATAACACCGATAACCAGTGAATTGCATTAAAACATGAAACATGAAAATCACTTGACCCCTCACAACGCGTTAACGGATATATGGTAGTAACTCGGCCATTGATTAAAAGACACCCCAAAGACTCGTGGGTGATTTGAATAGCTTTTATAACCAATCAATCATATTCTTTGCATTTTACCAAAGGTTAAATTATCAATACGCAATGTTTAATAATTTTTTATAAAGAAACATTCATGTCTGTGTGAAATTCGCTGTGCATTCTGGGTAATATGTACCGCGTGCGTGGCTGGAACCAAATCATCAAATTCCAAATCACACTATGCGTCATGGCGCGTCTTCATCTCGACTAGCAGATAGAAGTCACCACCCTAAAACGATGCCAAAACCTATCGGTCATCGCGACTTTATCGTTTATATATGTCCACCCACAGCACAACAATCAGTGTATGCGCCCTCATCGGTTAGATTTGTTTTTATTTATTTATTTATTTATTTATTTATTTATTTATTTATTTATTTATTTATTTATTTATTTGTTTGTTTGTTTGTTTGTTTGTTTATTTATTTATTTATTTATTTGAAACAATAACATCACTTACTGCACACAACGGATTATTTCCGTAAAACCAATGTAAACACTCCTCTTGGTAATACTCCCCGGCATAAGTGTAGTTTTTCTGGCATTTATCGGAAGTGACGTCATCTCCACATGACCAGCATACAAGGCTCTCAACCACAATGAACGCTGCAAAATTTCATTTCCAAAATTATTTCTATTTGGTTATTAATATTTCGTTAGTCATAGCACGTTTACAACAAGCAGCTTTATGGCTGAGATAGCTCCGCTGTTAGCAATGAACATTGCAATTAAAGAACAGAAGATATCATTAAAAAATTAACAATACGTATGGTATCAAAACAATCAGACAAAAATATTCATCAAAATTAGAGAATTGAAGATATCATCACGAAATGAACAAATGTGAGGGAGGTCTACCTGAGGTATATATATGTATAGTATCAAAGCAATCAGATTTTTAACAAGTCGAAAATATCACTTTTTACCAAAAAAGAAAAAAAACATTCATTAAAATTAGAGAATTGAAGATATCATCACAAAATCAACGAATCTGGGAGAGGTCCACATGTAGTATCTATATATAAAATATCAAAGCAATGAGACTTGCAGTTTCAACTGGAATTTGCAAATATCACTTTTTACCTAAAAAAACAAAAATATTCAACAAAATTAGATAATCATCACGAAATGAACAAATCTAAGAGAGGTCTGCCCAAGGTACATATACATCAACTGTCAAAGCAATAAGAATTGTAGTTCTCAATAAGAAGTTGAAAATGTAAAAAGATGACACGGACGACGGACGCCGGCGGGCAATCACTCATAAGATAAGCTCCGCTTGACAAAGTCGACAGCGGAGCTAAAATGTTAATTGTTATTCAAAATATGCTGTGTTCACAAACTAGTAAAGATATTTGCATAAATTGTTGCTCTCAGATTATTCATAAGATTGTATTGTGGTCTTGAATAGGATTATTATGTGACAAATAATGGTGTGCGAATTGCAGGAAATATAAAATATAAACATATGCGAACATTACATTCAATTCAAACGCGTTAGCAAACGAAATTCGAATACATGATAAAATCAGGCAACCAAATCATCATTTTCATAATGGTCGCTTGAAGCTTATGTAATACAGTGAGTGGCAGAAACCTGTACTTTACTTTATAAACGCATTCATAAACATTGTAAATACCGGTCTTTAGCTATGTATCAAAATGTGACTAGTGTCAGCGATCACTCACATATTCACGTTAAAGCATTTGCTGATTGGCTGACATCGAACTAACCCATCATGCAATCCGTTATAATGGGCAAGGTGTAAAATGTAATCAGCTATTTTATTCGTAATTTGTACAAAAATATTATTTTTTGTGAGCGTATAAAGTATTTTTTACATTAAATGTCGTAATTCGTATGCAATTTCCAATTTTGAATCTTAAACTCAAATATATTATAAAAATATGAAATGTAATTAGGAATTTGATTTATCTGTAAAGTGTATAAAGCATATTTTTACTGTAAATGCAACATTTCATTTATTTCCTGTAAAAACGTAAAATGCCGTTTTTATTTTCTGTCCCTGTACCACCTTGCCCCCCCCCCGTAAACCCTATGTGGGAACTGGTGATGTCACATGTTATCGTAAACCCTATGTGGGAAGTTGTGGTGTCACGTGTCATCGTAAACCTTATGTGGGGAATGGTGGAGTCACTTGTCATCGTAAAACCTATGTGGGGAATGGTGGAGTCACGTGTTATCGTAACTCTATGTCGGAACTGGTGGTGTCACGTATCATCGTAACCCTATGTGGAAACTTGTGGTGTCACGTGTCATCGTAAACCATATGTGGGAACTGGTGATGTCACGTGTTATCGTAAAACCTATGTGGAAACTGGTGATGTCACGTGTTATCGTAAACCCTATGTTGAAACTGGTGGTGTCACGTGTCATCGTAACCCTATGTGGGGTCTGGTGGTGTCACGTGTCATCATAAACCCTATGTGGGAACTGGTGGAGTCATGTGTTATCGTAAACCTTATGTGGGGACTGGTGGTGTCACGTGTCATGGTAAACCATATGTGGGGACTGGTGGTGCCACATGTCATCATAAACCCTATGTGGGAACTGGTGGAGTCACGTGTTATCGTAAACCCTATGTGGGAACTGGTGGAGTCACGTGTCATCGTAAACCCTATGTGGGAAATGGTGGTGTCATCGTAAACCCTATGTGGGGAATGGTGGAGTCACGTATCACTGTAAACCATATGTGGGGACTGGTGATGTCACGTGTCATCGTAAACCCTATGTGGGGACTGGTGGTGTCACGTGTCAACATAAACCCTATGTGGGAACTGGTGGAGTCACATGTTATCGTTAACCCTATGTGGGGACTGGTGGTGTCACGTGTTATCATGAATTCTTTGTGGGAACTGGTGGAGTCACTTGTTATAGTAAACCCTGTGTGCGGACAGGCGATGTCACGTGTTACCATAGACCCTATGAGGGGATTGGTGAGGTCACGTGTAATTGTAAACACTATGTGGGAAATAGCGGTATCACGTGTCGTGTGAATACCCACCTGCTAAAATGAGACAAACTCGAAACACGATTTCCATCTTCAATTTGTTCGTCAACTATTGCTTCTATGCGACAGAGTCCATAGTCGTTGTTGCTGGGAATTTACCCAGCTGCGTTGACCTTCTGTAGTCAGAAACTATTAGCAGTTTCTATATATACCGACACCCCACGTACAGTGGCAATGACATTCACCTTTTATGACCTGTACGAAAATGGTAAGGCTTGTGTGATGCGTAACCCTTGACCAGAAAACGTATAGTTCTGAGCGAGTGTTTATCAGACAAATTTACATTCAATAAAATGTCCTGTGAGCAAATTAACACGAAAAAAGACTTGAGTCGGCTAGTTTGATTCTTTGTTTCACCTGAGATACATACCATATGCAAGTGGGGGTGGACGGTAAATGGAATAGTTAATGTTTTGCAACAGAATTAAGAGACAGCATATGTGACTAATTGCTGCAAAAATAACATTACTGTGTTTATGTTTAATTTAATATCAACAATTTGTTAGCGATGTAAAATACATTACTTATAAGGTGAGTGTGGCATCGATAAGTGATGAGTACATTGACCAGGTTGATGTTACTATCAATGGTGGTAGGTGTCACCCATTTAAAATTTAGGTGACTTTCGTTTTTGCGGAAATATTTTATTCACATTTCCCTTATTTACATATTTCTTCCATTCTTTTATCTTTATAAATAGTTAAAACACAGAAACACAGTTTTTGCCTTAGTTATTTTTTATCGACGAAAAAGTGTGAGAGCTGAGGCTAGCATGCATGAATGACATTTCTTGGATATTCTAATTCTTAATTTTTGAAAAACAAAAAAACGCTATTTCTTGCAAATAAAATAGCAATTAAAAATAGTTATTGCACAATTCGTGATTCGCTGATTCGTTGATTCTTGAATCTTGATTCGTTGATTCTTGATTCTTTAATTAGCCTTTCCTAATTTTTGGACAGTTATTTTATTTGTATGTGCATCTACGTACATCTGTGACATGGTACGTCACAAAACCATTTGGTTGCAAGCTTTCATCGTCGTGTTAGTGTCACAGTAAATACAATGAACGCTTGTTAGTGCATATTGTTCAATTCGCTCCTGTTTTCGTAAGATTGAAACAATTATTATTATACATATTCAACATTTTAGTTACGTCGTCATCATTCATGTGCCATGCATGATAAAACTACTTCGTTGTCCATGATTGTCCGTGCACTCGGTCACAGGTTATCGGCACTATTCTGCAATAATAAAAAAGAGCTAAAGAATATGTACTTAGTCCAATATAGTCGCTTCTATCACTCGTGGGTATTTGAGTGGCGAGTAATAGTATATCGGATGTTGA